ATGTTTTCTTCTTTCCGAATTTATTGACAAAAGCGAACATATAACATACAGCAAGCCTTACCTTTTAAAATAAAAAAATATATTGAGCCCAGTGGAAGGAGGTAAAGACTGAGAGCAGAGCTTACATGTAGCCGCCTGGAGTGGGTTTTCATCTTAACTTCCTTCCGTTTTCACAAGTCTGAAAAATGTGGCTTAAAATCAAATGGGTAAAACCCATCTGGAGCTGTGACAGCAGCACGCAGCATCCATAAGTGGGTTGGTTGTTTTATAGCAGGCATCATGCACTCGACTCCACACAAAGGAACAGAAATAAAACCCAGTGCTTCACACTTTTTAAACACTTCGATGCCGTTTGTGCATCAGCTGTACATCTTATATATAACACATCTTTAATGTACAACTCTTCACACAGCAAACGGAAAAGCCCCTGAACCTGGGCAAAGCAGCGGGTAAAGCTACGGGGCAGATGAAGTGTCGTCTTGTTGCATAGCCCTACTTTTTAACATTTCTTTAGTGAACAGTCATCTGCAACAACAACTTCTCGTACCTGTGGGTTTAACTACAGGTCAGTTCACCTGCAAACCCTCAGTAGTCCTTTCAAAATCAAAGATATGAGAAGGAGGAAAGCCCAGAAAATCTGCGCTTACAGTATATGGCAGAGAGGATAAATTTAATACACACTCGAAGAGGCAGGTGTTTCTGAAATATTTAGGGTTTTTAGATATTTTTTTAAAAAATGGCACTTTTTCTCCATCCATAGACCATTTCTTGTGACTGACTGGCAGTAGATCAGAGAGAAGAAAGGCAAATGCTTACCACAAACCCTTCAGCCAAAGTACAAACACTACTTTTTGACAACCCTCATCATGCACTACATTACATACTCTGAAATAATTGTACTAATTTGAATATACCAACCAGAAGAATTGTACAAAACAAATGTATTTTTCTGCATTTAAATCCGAACAAGAAGTTTTGTCTGTAAAGTTTTCCCCTCCCAGCCACAGTTCCTCTCTCTGCTGTCTGAGTTTGAGTCCTTCTGAGTCGAAGCGAAGTGGAAATCTTAGCAAGTCGTGGTAAACGAGGCACTTGGTATTTGGCCACTTGATGCCAGAAAGGAGCTCCTCTGGTTCCGTGTGAACCGAAATCTTTTACATCCTGTACAGGTTACAAAAATGTGACAGTGGAAACNGTTTTCAGGAAACATGACACCAACAAGGGAGCATTCAGTTAAAACAATAGAGGATAATCTACACTGGATTGAAGGAAGGGCAATGTTGAGACGATGGAAGCGTCCGGAAAGGCATCAAACCATCAGGACGGAAAACATGCTGCAAATCAGGTGCTGCCTCCCAGTCTAGCACTGCTGCATCTTCCTCCACATGCATCGCAGTCACCCCAACATGGCTGACATGATTAGAACATTGGTCCAATTAAGGAACTGTATAAACCCCGGGTGTCCTGTCAACCTAATATGTTACATTTTTGTTTTTTT